TGATTTCACCTTTTTCATTTCTTATTGCATGAATTTGAGCTTTTTCTTTCCTTTTTTTAATAAGGTTGGCTAGGGGCTTATCGATTTTATTTATTCTTTCAAAGAACCAACTCTTTGATTCGTTGATTCTTTGGATTGTTTTCTTAGTCTCTATTGCATTGATTTCTGCTCTGATTTTTATAATTTCCTCTCTTCTTTTGGCTTTGGGCTTGACTTGCTCTTCTTTTTCTAGCTGTTTGAGGTGTAGCATCAAGTTATTTATTTGTATTCGTTCTGTTTTCCTGATGTGGGAACTCAGTGCAATAAATTTTCCTCTCAGAACGGCTTTCATTGCATCCCACAGATTCCGGTAAGTTGTATCTGCATTTTCATTTTCTTTTAGGTATTGTTTAATTTCTTCTTTAATTTCTTCTGTGACCCACTGATTACTCAAGAGTGTGTTATTTAGTTTCCATGTGTTTGCGGAATTTTTGCAGTATCCTTTGTCATTAATTTCTAATTTCAGAGCGCTGTGATCCGATAATATGCAAGGGATGATTTCAACTCTTTTGCATTTGCTTAAATATGTTCTGTGAGCTAATATATGGTCTATTTTAGAAAATGATCCATGTACTGCTGAGAAGGATGTGTATTCTGATGTTGTTGGGTGGAACATTCTGTATATGTCTATCAAACCCATTTGTTCACAGATGTGATTCAGTTCTGTTATTTCTTTGCTCATTTTCTGTCTGGTTGATCTGTCCCTTGGTGTCAGTGGCGTATTAAGGTCTCCTGTTACAATTGTGTTACTGATAATTTGAGTTTTCATTTCTGTTAATAATTGTTTTATATAACTGGGTGCTCTGGAGTTTGGTGCGTATATATTTAAGATAGTTATCTCTTCCTCTTGGAGTTTTCCCCTTACGAGTATGTAGTGACCTTCTTTGTCCTTTATGGTCATTGTTGGTTTAAAGTTCACATTGTCTGCAAACAGAATGGCTACTCCTGCCTTTTTTTGGATTCCTGCTGCATGAAGAATTGTTTTCCATCCTTTGACTTTCAGTCTGTGAGTATCCTTCTGGGTTAGATGGGTTTCCTGTAAACAGCATATGGTTGGATTTTGTTTCTTGATCCATTCTGCTAGTCTGTTTCTTTTGATTGGTGCATTGATACCGTTTACATTAATGGTTATTACTGTTAAATGCTGGTTAATTGTAGGAATGTTATCTCTCTGCTGTTGCATCTTTATCTTTCTGTTCTGTTTAATTATTTGCTTTGCTTTGTGGTTTTTTCCTTTGTGTATCTAAACTGTCTTTCAATATTTTTTGCAGGGTTGGTTTGGTGTTCATGAAGTTCTTCAGCTGTTCTTTGTCATGGAAGTATCGTATTGCACCATCTATTTTGAATGATAGTTTTGCAGGATATATCAGTCTTGGTTGGAAATCATTTTGCTTTAGGATCTGGAATACTTCACTCCATGCTCTTCTTGACTTTATCGTTTGTGCTGAGAAGTCTGCTGTGATTCTGATAGGTTTTCCTTTATAAGTGATTTGTCTTTTCTCTCTGACAGCTTTTAATAATCTATTCTTGTGTTGGATTTCTGGGATGGTGATTATTATATGTCTGGGTGTAGTTTTATTTTGGTTATGACTGTTTGGAGTTCTATATGCTTCACTGATCCTGATGTCAGTTTCTGATCTCATGCTTGGGAAATTTTCAGCTATTACTTCTCTAAATATCCTCCTGACGTCCTTCATGTTGTCTCCCTCTCTTTCATTAATCCCTGTCATTCTTATGTTATTCTTCTTTGCATCGTCTTGCAGTTGTTGAATTGTTGTTTCCTGGTTCCTTGTTATTTTCAAAAGATCTTTCCTTTCCTGTTCACTAGCTGCAATCCTGTCTTCAAGGTCTGAAATTCTATCTTCACTTTCATTAAGGCGGTTTTTACAACTTTCAGTGGAGTTTTTTATTTCCTGTATATCTCTGTGCATCTGCATTATGTATTCTGTTTGTTTCTTATATTGCTCGTCTAGGGATTCTATCTTTTTGTTTAGTTCCTCCAATTTTTTATCTGTGTTTTCTTTAGATATATTTAGAGTCTCTTTCATTTCTTTTATCATTTCTTCTTTTATCTGGGAGATTATTTCGAGTTTGAATTTCTTTAAAGCTTCCTGGAGTTGCTTGTCAATTTCAGTGGCTATTGTGTCCAATATATGAGGTGGATGGGATATATTTTCTTCTATATACATCGCTCCTAGGGTTTCTTGAGATGGGCTGGAGGTTTGAGGTTGTAATTTGGTCTTTCGTTTTGTCATTTTCCTATATTTCTGTGTTTCAAGTGTTATTTGAAAGCTTCCTCAGGATCTGTTGAAAATCCCCTTCTATGTTTGGAGCTACTGAGACTCTGGCGCCGCGCTACTCCAAGCCATTAGGCCTACAGAACCAGTGGCCCTCCTCTGCCTGCTCAGAACTCCGCAGTTCCAGACAAGCTGGGCCTCAGGGACACTGTGCGCCCACCTGCCCCTTGGAAGCTCCACAGTTCTTCAGTAGCAGCCGGGTTAGGGTATTCACCACAGGCCGCAGTGCTTCAGGAACCTGTGGACCCTCCCTGGTTGCAGAGATATCCAGAGTCCTCCAGACACGCAGAGAGGCCAGTGAGGGCACCCCAGATCTGCCCAGCTCCTCCTCTGCAGACCTATGGCCAGGCGCGGCAGCTAAACAGGCTGGGCTAGGCTGGTAGTGTGGGTCAGCCCACCTATCGGGAGCTCAGCAGGTCTCCAAATGAAGCCGGGAATGGGGAGGCTGATGTGGAAGCCTCAAACCCACCTCTCTCCTTCACTGCACCTGGAAGCCTGAGGGAACTCCAGCAGTCTGGGCGCAGATATCCAGAGTCCTCCAGACACGCAGAGAGGCCAGTGAGGGCACCCCAGATCTGCCCAGCTCCTCCTCTCCAGAATGTAGTTTTAAAAGCCTGAGAAATTTAATGTATGAAGTGTAACACAACTTTACATATACAAAAAAGATACGTTGGACATTTTTTTCTTCTGTCTACTTTCCAAATTTAACATTGCTCTAACATCCCCCGCCCCAACTGGGGATTGAACACACAGCACGGGACAAGTGAGACAAGCACTCTACCCCTGCACGCTGTCCCCAGCCTGGCTATAGTTCTTTAGAAAAGGCCAAGTAAGTGTATCGGACCTGTGATGGTCACTTCATTTGGCAATAGAAAGAAGGATAATTGAATTAAAGTGGAAAATTGAGAGAACACTGAAAGGAGACAAGGATACCCTTTGCCTTGTCTTTGCTCTCTTTAACGTAAAATAAGTGTGGTGACTTTTCTGCCAAGTGAACTCTTGCTTCATTGCACAATTAAAGCCTGCAAGGTTTGTGGACCTAATGAACCAGGCCTTACTCTGATTCCCACTCTCCACCCGCCACCCACCTCCCTCGGAACTTCCCTCCTGGGGATTGGCGCAGTGAGAGTTCTTCCAGTAATGACCCAGTTTTCTCACTTAGCTTTTGGTACTACATCAGCCCAAGTGAGTGTCAAATAAATGTTGTTTGATTATGATGAGAGAATTATCTTTGTTTGGGAGGAATTTTCTTTATGCTTATTTAAGACATTTCTCACAATGCTTTCAGAATCATTGCAAAATAGAAATCTTGTTTGGAGTTGGACATTTTCTCTATGCTTTCTTTTTGCCAGAAGCTTTAAATGAATTGTTAGAAATTGATTTATTTAGCATAATGCAATATTCTCTAAACAGCGGAGTATAATTAAGTTTACCAGGTCTGTTTAAGAATAAAAACTCAGTAATTTTGATTAATCCACACAAGAACTTTTCAAGGGTACTGTAAGTTGGGTTTAGGGATTTTTATGAATACGACTCATTTACTGTATATACTTTTTTTTGCCAAATAAGATAATTAATGTTGCCTAGTTAGAGTGCTTAAAAATTGGAATGTTAGCATACCATTCTGAAAATCTCTTGAGGTATGTATATCTACATGCATGTAATCAAGTAGTTTTTATTTTAGGCTCATGAAAGCATTATTTTTTAAATGTCTGTAAGTAAATCAACAAATAACTTTAAGAGGAAATACCACTAATTACTTGGGAATGAGGATGCAAAATAGTATGTGTATTCAAAATATGCCTTGCAGAAATTACTTGGAAATCAAGGACCTTCAAGTGGAAAACTTCAGAACACTTGGTACTATATTCTATATGGCTGTTAAATCTTGACATATAAGCCAGGCATACAATCCCAGCACTCAGGAGGCTGAGGCAAGAGGATTGTTGCAAGTTCGAGACCAGCCTGAGCTACAAAGTGAGTTCAAGAGCAGCCCGAACTGCATAGTGAGACCTTGTCTGGAAAAGGGGAAAAAAAAAAATCTTGACATACAGATGTAAATGCAGCTGTATGTATGTGCGTGTGCGTGTGCGTGTGCGTGTGCGTGTGTGAGAGAGAGAGAGAGAGAGAGAGAGAGAGAGAGAGAGAGAGAGAGCGAGAAGACCCGGGATTGGACCCAGAGTCTCATGTGTATTAGGCTTGTGCTTTACCATTGAGCTACAGTCCTACTCCTTTTTAAAAACTTTGAGATGGCATCTTGCCAGGTTGCATAGGCTGGCCTTATTCCTACCTCAGCCTCCCAAGAAACTGGAACTACAGGTAAGCCACCATCTCTGATATAAAATGTATCATTCTAAAGGAAGAGTTAAAGAGGTTTTCTTTGTTGTTTTCTTTTTCCCCACATTCATAGTAAGATCTCATAATAGGTAAGTATATTAGGTGAATGTTGCTTTATTTAGTCTTTTTCTTATTCTTGCAGCACTAAAAGAGTGAATTCAAGGTTTTTGCACATGGAAGGCAAGTACTGTACCATTAGGATACATCCCCAGTCCAAATGAATATTTGAAACACACCATCTGGATTCTACACTACCCATACACTACCCAAACTGTGTCATCTTTTGACTGTTCCATTGTTAATGTTATACATATCCTTTCCTTTCAGTTGGATATGTCGTGTGACCAGATAGCTGCTAATCTGCAGACAGTTATTAATGAAGTCTGCAGGCACAGACCCCTAAATCTGGGTAAGTGTTTTGCTGAAGGTAGACTTCCCTATAGCCCTGTGATACTTTTCAACAGGTAAAATATTAAGAAAACAGTTAACATCCAACTATGAAGCAATACTATTTCTAGGAATTAGAGAAATAAAATTTAATTTCTAAAAGATTTACAGTTTTTAGGGAGAGACTTTATCATTAATAAAAAGAATATATCCTGAAATCTTCATAAATGCCTATATTATGTCTACCATTAAATATAACAAAGTTGGAGGCATGATTGCTTTAATCCTACTGTGATGTTAAATAGGAACTTAAAATGGTATAAAATCATTTATGAGGGCCTGGAATTTAGCTCAACAGCATAAGCACCTGCTTGGCAAGTGCGAGGTCATGAGTTCAATCCCCAGTACCCAAAAATAAAAAATAATCATTTATGAAATGCCACTTTAAAGGCACATCATTCACTTTTTCCTTTATACTAGCAGTTGCCTATTTTAGAAAAGAAAGGTTATTTTTTGTCATAAGAGTCACTTTTTTTAAATGTTGTGATTCATACAGAATCATGAAAGTTGATCATGATGTAGAAACTTGCAGTAGGGCAGAATGCAAGCTCATCTAGCACCTTTATTGTGTTCTGTGCCATTCAAATTCCTTTCTCAAACTGCACTCATGGATAATTGAAGGCAGTCAAGGGTCTACTATACTTATTTGATTATTCATTTACAAGTTCACCATGATAGAACTTTGTCAGGTTTAGTTTTATAACTATGGTAATAAAAACCAATATTAAGTTATTTTTTGTCTTATAAAGGAGTTAAGCATGCTGATCATTAAATACCTCATTTGTTAATTCCTTTGTTCTTAATACAGTTGTAGTACTGAGTGATCATATGTGTACGAATACTTATATTTCACGGAGACTTTGCTTGTAGTATAGGATCATCTGAGACTACAACAGGATTGGATTGGTGGGCAGTAAACCCTCTAGAGCAGTATTGTTATTTTTTTTAAATGAAACTCTTTAGCATTGTTCCTTTGAAAAGCTTTTTAATTTTTAGAGAATTTTACCAACTGTTTGGTAGCACAAAATTAACACCTGTGCTGTTTTAAATAAATATTTATAGCATTTCCATCAAATGTAAATATCACCACCTGCTCACTTCATTGTTGATTTTGCAATAAAATAAATTTCAGGTGATCATCTTCTAGAAGACAGAAATGAATTATTAGTGAGTATGTAGTTTCAAAGATAAATCTCTAGGATAGCTAGTCTCCTGAAATGAAACCCTATTTCCTTGTAATTTAAAATATTAGGTAATATAGTACTTTTCAAGTGAAAATATGAATCCTGCAAAGTTTCCTGTTGTATGTTTGTATTTTCTTCTGAGGAGTCTGTGAAATAAAATCAAAGATGATTTCTGTCTTTGTTTCCAGGTCCCTTTGTGGTCCGCGCTTTCCTTCGTAGTTCAACAAGTGAAGGTTTACTATTAAAGATTGATCCATTATTGCCTAAAGAAGAAATTGAAAAAAGTAAAGAAGCTGCCTAAAAGTATGAAATTAATTTGCGTGCATTAAGAAGCAACAGAGAAAATTATAAAACTTCATAATTTCTACACTTGGTGTGATTTCTTGATTATTACCCTTGAAATGAATTTTTTTTATGATTTTTTGGGTTTTTTTATTTTAAAGAGAATAAAACTAAGCAAAATAAAACAGAAAAAAGCCAATCAAAACAAACCAGTATAAATGACACAGGACTTCAAAACAATACAAAATCAACAGTGATTACCATAATGCCTCTTGTCCTCAAAATAGCTGTAGATACCTTCAGACTTAGAAAAAATCAAACCAAACAGAACAGAATAGAATCAATAAAAACAAAATAATGAATGCAATAAGACTTCAAAGCAAGACAATAGTAAATCCAAAATGGCTCCCATAATATATCTTGCTATCTTTGAAGTAGCTGCCCATGCTATCAAATATAACAAAATCAAGCAAAACAGAATAAAACCCAACCCAACAAATAAATGAAAATGAGATATGATAAGTGAGCTGCTTTCTTGCTTGTTAGTTTGCCTAATCTAGGTTGGATTGATGACAATGCTACTCTCACATTAAAAACTTTAAATATTGATACATAAAGTGATGGTGCATTTAGGCATTTGGTCTGAAGAATTTATTTCACTTTAGGCTTTCTTTGTAGTTATTGTGGAAATACAAAAAGTTTTGAGTAAACTAGCAATTCTCTGTAAGTTACCTATTTGTAAACATTCAGTGAAGAAGTTATACAATTTTTATAATTTTCCCATTATAGTTATTGAAGTATACTTTGTTGACTGTAATATTAAAAACTTCATGTGTTTAAGAAAAAAAATGATACAGGACTTTCAAACAAGATAATAGGGAATTAACAATGACTAGCACCTTTAGGAGAGCCCTAATAAATACCACACTGCATACTGTTATCTTCTGAATAGATGATCAGACCACCAGCCCCAGACCTGCAAAGTCAGTAAAACATCAAACACCACAGCATCAAATTGTATTTTACCTCATTAGTTATCAACACAGCCTGTGTTTCCCCAGATGAGCCAGTCCCAAGGTAGGGAGGGTTGGCTCTTCTTGTTTCCCAGCCTGCATGCCAAAAGTGGCTGTGGTCTGGCTGTCCTCCATCAGTGGTGCTGGCCCACACGCAGTGCTGGTTCGAAGGGAGAGCTTACTTCTTGTTGACCTCTTGTTCTCTTCCCCCACAGCCCATAAATGACACTCCAGGGAAAGGCTGGCTGTCCCCCCAGCAGTGGCAGCCTATATATGGCCTTATGTTTTGTTTTTTGAAACAGGATCTTGCTATATAGGTTAGGCTGTCCCTGAGCTGACTATGTAGCCCAGGTGGCCTAAAACTCATGGTGATCCTCCTGTCTCAGCCATCCAAGTGCTAGGATAACAGGTGTGCACCACCACACCCATTTTGAAAGTGGATCTTAATACTAAAAATTCTTACAACTGTTTCAAAAACTTTTCTCTGTGTCTACACCTATCTTTTAGATTATTATCTTCCTTAGTATCCACAGTCTACATATTGATAGATAATAGCAGTTTCTAGCTTTCAAACTCCCTTGGGAACTATAGCCATCTAAGGCAATAACATCATCAGTTCCCAGAACGCAGAGAATGTCAGAGTCATGACTTAACATCACAATCATGACTGCTTCCTAGAGAAAATATAGCAAGAGCTCTTTCTAAGGATCCTTTCTCCCCTACCCCTCGCATAATGGAGCCTGGGCCTTGTGCATGCTGGATAAGCCCTGTACCACTGAGCTATCTCTCCAGTCCTCATTCTGAGTAATTCTGAATACCATGAATATAGAAAATTACTGAGCCAGTGAAATGTGTGTGAGTGATTTTTTAGAAGTCAATTTGCAAGAATTTATTTGTATATTTTGTAATACAGTATATTCTGATGCTCATACATAAAGTCCTGTGGATATCACTTGCATATATTTGACTTACTTGATCCTGATTTCTTCCGCTTAATAGCATAATAGGTTTTAGGGTTTGTTGAATGGATATCCTCTGAAGTAGATAGAACAACTTTTCTCATGGATGAAGAATCAGGCTAAGATACTAGATGCAGTCTTTCATTGAGTGCCAGTTTGAAGACCAGTGTTGATCCCAAAATATTTACTGATACAAAATGGAAAATATAAAGATAATTTTGGCAAGTGATTGCCAAGTGTCTTTTCTTAGGAATGAATTCATTTGAGACTTTTAAAGAGGATATGGTAAATGATATTTGTTTTATAAAAAACTAATGATAGTAAATTTTTAGGTGAGTTTTTAATAACACCTAGTTTGGGAGGGAAAGTTTGCAGATCCATGTATGTCTCCCAAGTTGTTTTTAAAAGTTTCATGGGCCTGGGAGATCTAAATAACTGAACAACACTGTATTTCACTAAGCTTTACTCATCTCATTGGCAAATTAAAATTTAGAGGCTGCTCACTAAGCTCTCACCTTAGTACAAAGCAGTAAGAGCACTTTGCTTTTATTGAGCACCTCTTGCTACCTTGTGCTCTGTATGCTCTCATTTTGTCCTCACAGTGATTGGATGGAGAAAGTGGTTTCTCATTTTGCAGAAAAAATGTGAGACTTGCATGAGATCTGCTCAGTGGCAGTTTGCTTTCAGAATATTTCAGGGTGTTAACTGACCTGTGGAACAAACTAGTCCCTATTTATTAGAATTTTTCAATTCTAATAGGGACAAGAACCTTGAGTGTTTACAGTGTATGCCTCTAGAAAAATGGAATTGTCATATATTCTCTTAATGGGATTATTTGTGTTTATTACTTAACAGCAAATTAAATCATTTTGAAAAGTAGACTTAACAAGTTTTTATTGCAAATACTAATGGTTTTCTAATTTGCATCCACATTATCCAAATTTGTATGAAACAAAATTGCTAGACTTCACCCAACCTTGTGGATGAATACTGAAAATTCACTTTTCTAACCATATGATGGTAATGCTGGCCCAGGAAGCCACACTTTGAGGACCACACATATACACCAGTGGTTCCTTTTCTGTAATTTAAAAAACTCTAATCTTGGGATTAGTTAAACTTGGGATTCAAAACTGTAAAGTGATTCTGAAGCACTAGGGTTGAGAATCACTGTTACATACTGTCTTATTTACTTTTATCATGTTACTGAGACAAAATACCTGATCTCAAAGTTAAAAGGAAAAAGATTTATTTAGCTCACACTTTGTAGAGGTTTCAGAACATAATCAGCTGGCCCCAAGGCAGGGTGGTACATGGCAGAGAGGCAGCAGAAGACAGCAAAATCAGCAAGAGCTGGAAAGTGAGAGCCTCTCTCTGTCTCTGACATTGTATGCAGGCCACCTGCCCTATCGCAGGTGTAGATTCATTCTCTTAATCCCAGCGTTGGACCATGAATCAATTGCGACTGCCCTCATGACTGCGTGAGGCTTTGGGGGAACATCTAGACACAAACCATAACATACTCTATTAATGGGGCTGGGGATTTAGCTCAGCAGCATAAGCACTTGCCTTGCAAGCAGGTGGTCATGAGTTCGATCCCCACTACCAGAAAAAAGGAAAACAAAAACAAAAAAACATACTCTATTAAGCAAGTCACGGAAGATATAGAACTGATAATATAAGATGAAAAAATAAACAATTTAAGAGCCAGGTCTAGTTTCTTCTGACTTTTTGGTCTGTAACTATGAGAGATCATGTGAAATAGGGAAATCATTAGATGATCACCAATATTGTGTGTGCATGTAAATGTGTGTGTGTGTGTGTGTTACTGAGCACTGAACCCAGGACCTTCTCACCGAACTATATACCAGACCATATTACTTATAGAGACAGGATGTCACTGAGATGCTCAGGTTAGTTGTTGAATTTTGATTGCCCTGCCTCAGCCTCTCAGGGTCCAGAGATTACAGGCATGTTCCACCATCCCTGTACTTTATTAACACAAATGAGGCAAACTTGATAGCATCATTTAATATTATTCTGTTAAAACCTGAATGTTTCAGGTGGCATGAGACAGTTTTTTTTTTTTTTTTTTTTTTTTAAATTCCATAAGCTTTTGTAGCCGGTAGTCAACTACAGTGTCCAGTAGGTGGCAATAGTAGTCTTTCATTCAACTTTTACCTTTTTTACTTAATGGGTACTTACTGTTAGGAGTCTTGATTTTTCACTTGACTATAAATAGCAAAAGTACTTTAGACTCCACATAGAGCTCTCATTTGCAGTTGTTTTTATTCTCTTGGGCATGTTACAGATGTTACCTTAGATATATAATAATGCATATTTAGAACTTTTAAAATTTCCCGTTAATAGAATTCGACTATGCAAAAGCTAAAATAATAAAGTAATAAATGCTCACTCATATATTACTCAGCATCAGCAATGATCCACTTTCTGCTAGAGTCGCAGTTTCATATGTCCCATCTACCTGGGATCCCTAATTTGTCTTCAACCTTGCTAGAATAATTAAAAATAAATTTCATATATCATTTCACTTCATATATAAAGTTTTAAAAAAAACTCCAAGTCTAATGACAAGATTTTAGGTCTATTTTTCAAAGCTCATTGTTTTTGGGTTCCACTGGGGCCCTTGTGGGTCATTCAGTTTTGCCTGGCTTTTTCTGCATGCTCAGGCTGATCTCAAACTCTTGAGCTCGGGCCGCCCGTCATCCCACCTTAACTTCCTGAGTGCTGGTATGTGTCATTGTCCCCAGCTTCGTCTTTTTTGGGGTGGTAGGCTTTTCACCTAATAATGGCCAAGGCACCTATTTCTAGTGCTCAGTATAAGAGTGATGTGCCATAATTAGCTACGAAAGATAGCATGTAAATGTTAGTATTTTAAAACTGAATCGAGAGCTGTTCACTAAAATTTTTATTTTTGAGTCAAAATATAATATTAGAAATTTATAAAAGAATACAAACATATTTGGATATCTTTTATCTAAAGGTATCCAAAGGGACAAAAATTGTACTGTATTGCTTTACTTTTAAAAATATAGCTGGGATGTGGCTCAGTTGTAGAGCACTTTCCCGGCCCCAGATTGGTTCCCTAGTTC